CTTAGTGCAGTGAAAGAAGCTGATCTGGTTAACTTACTTCAAAACCAGTTCCCCATGTTGGGCAGAAAGAGAAATAAATATCTATTTAACAAGAAAGAGTGTGGTTACACATACAGATGTGTAATATTTGTAAATGAGAAGTGGATTGTTTGTGTATAGGAGTGGAGAAGGGAGAGACTCAGTAAGCTGGAGCTAAGTTAAAGTAAACTATTTATTGCACTAACTAAGCCACAATGTGGCCGCTGCCAACTGGTCACAACCGCAGTACTTTTTTTTCTTAAAGGCCTCAGTCTCTTCAAGATACACTCCGAGTAATAGGAAAGAAAGGGTCCTAATGCTAGAATTTGTTCATGGCATCCTTGACTGTTTAAGGCCTTATTCTGTGAGAGTTTAGGTCTGGCTGTTTTCTGCCTGTCCCTGCAACTACACAGGGAAAGAATAGGGTGGGAGAGAAGTCAGATGCACGCCTTGTTCCTTGGGCAAGCAGCTTGCGGAGTGGGAAACACAGCTCCCTGCTTGGATGGCTTATACACTCTGGGGCTTGGCAAAGCTGTTGCTGAAAACATTCAACAAAATAAACTACAGAATATAGAAAGAATGCAGGAAAAGTCATGAAAAACAAATTGGTGATTCACAGAGATTATAGTCTAATGGCTACAAGATTTTCCCGGCTTTGATTTGGACTTTTTCAAGAAATCAGTTGCAGTAGAGGCTCCCTTGGTGGTTGGACATGAGAGGGGGTTTTCTAGAAATAATGAGTTTTTGTTTGGGGTGTTTATTTTATTTTTAATAAAGAAAATATTGTTTCTATTCCCTTGCTTGTCCACTGAAGAAATAAAATCTTTAGGTAATCCCAGTTCCTGGATGCAGGCGGCATAAAGAATATACACAAACAGAGAGATTATTTCAGAGATGGGGTCATTTTTTTTTTGTTTGTCATTCATGAGCACTTCAACAATGACAAAAAGAGTTATAAATGCCAAATGTGGCACCAGGCGGTGCAGAGATGTATGTGTCTGTGTATACATATATACAGTCATGCGCTGCATAATGATGTTTTGGTCAATGATGAACCGCATATATGACAGTGGTCCCATAAGATTAGTACCATACAGCCTAGATCTGTAGGAGACTATACCATCTAGGTTTGTGTAAATACACTCTATGATGTCCACACAACGACGAAATTGCCTAACAATGCACTTTTCATAACGTATCCCTGTCATTAAGTGGAGATATATATATATGTTGCCCCTTCTCTTGCACCCAGCAAACCCTTGATTAGAAATGCAGTGAGACCTATTTCTTGAATGAAGATCTCTGTTTATGATGATCCACAAGGTTATAATTGATTTTTTTAAAAAAGATCCAAGATTCAAATAAAGAAGTAACCAGTGCTAATTTGGATAAATCCTGACCAGTGGGATATTTAATAATATTGTATTTTTTGGAATGTGTACTGTACTCCAAGAATTACTGTACAAAGGTCAAATGCCCAGCCTAGCTTTGCCCAGCGAAGAGATGTGCACGTGCCTACCTGGTGTAATAAATAGGAGCCCTGTAGTGTTTCACTTCACCTGTCTCACCCCCAGCCAAGTATCTCCCACTTCTCTGTAGCTTTTGCTGTTAAATTCACCATTCCTTCCTCATTTCTTTCAGATGATTCAGTACTGTTGGTAAAAATCACCTGAGATGCTTGTTAAAATCACCGATTCTATGTCCCACCCACGGAAACAGACTCCGCAGATGAATGTCTCTTTTTAAAAAGTGCCCTAGGTGCTTCTTAGGATCAGAGGAATTTAGGATAAATGGGACTAATGATAATTTTTCAGTTTCACTTTATGATAACAAAGTACTTTCATGAAACCGTTTTATGAGATCCTCACCATAAGTCTGTAACAAAAATATTATTATTCCCACTTTACATAAAAGGAAACTGAGTCTCTAAGAGGTAAAGTATCCTGATTAAGGCCATGTGGGGCTGGACCTTGACTCCAGGTCATGTGGCTTCTAGTCCAGGCCCTCCCCACAAGCCCCACTGCCTTCCAGGAGCCTGTAGTAATGATGATGACATTGGTACCGAGAAAGTCTTGTTTGAGCAAAGAAAGTAGACAAGGGTATTACAGGGCTTCTGAGAACACCCAAAGGGCCTTGAAGAAAGAGAAATCTTTTTATACTTGAAGATGAGGGAAGAGAGTAGGTGAAAAAAGTCATGGAAATTCGAACATCAGGCTATTGTTGATTAATGAAAAGTTACTGAAAATAGTTGGACCCCAAGAGTTTTGTAAAGTCTCCTCCATAGAAGGCTGGTTCTATAAGAGACTCCATGGAAAGGGGGATCTTGACTCAAATAAATTTGGAAAATGTGGTGAACTTTTACTCTGGTGAATAGATTCCCAAAGCACATCTGCTTATTAAAGGCTCTGAGAAGTCCTGCTGCAACGAAATCCACTTAAAACTTTAAACCTGCAATATTCCAAACTTATTTGATCATGAAACTCCTTCCCTATTTTCCCATAAAATATACATAAACATCTGTCTGAACATACTGTGGGAAATGCTGGCTTAGGACACAGATTTAGAGTTGGGAATACATCAATGGGGGTGTTTAATACTATAGTTACAGCCAAATAAGAGACTCTATTTTTTCTTTCTTTCTTTTCTTCTATTATGTCTTTGCTCATTCTAGAGAGAGAGAGAGAGAGAAAGATTACCCATAAAATAAGCAACAGAGTATTTATTGCTCTGAAGTTTGTTGATTGTCTCGTTACTAACACAAAGGAAGTGTATGGCAAGAGAACCACGCAGGAGCTGAGCTAAGCCCTGGAATGTGGAAACCCAGTCTGTCTGGAGCCCCTGGCTCTTTCCAGGCATCTGGATTGGAGGCCGAGCTTGTCTTCCTTTCTGTTCTTGCCAGTCTGCCTCTCTGGGGATGAGAGTCTAAAGATGTCGCCTCATTGACATGCTTCCTGCTCTTCATGTGTTTAACCAGGTTGATTCAGAGGGACTCTTCATTCCAGGGGCCTCTTGGACCCCAAGACTGCCCTAAGCAAGGTCCAGGTGGACTCTGGTCAGAGAAAATAGCAGCCGAAGCATAACTAAGCAGGCTCGCCAAATACATCAATCTTCCCAAGGAGGAATACCCCTCTGGCAAGAATGGGAATGCTATCTGCTTATGGTTATGAATCCCCCTTGTCAGAGCCTGATGGCACCCAGAGATGCCTCTTCAACTTGAGTGAGTAGTTGGGTGCAGATAGGCGTGGTGTACAATAGCTCAGGTGGTTGGATAGGGCTCACAAAGAGGGTGGAGAGTTAGGGAAGAATGATTTTAGCCTTTAAGCAGGGAGATAACTTATTTCAGTTCTTGTGTTTAGATGCCTAGGAGATGATCGATTTCTCAATAGTGTGAACTCTGCCATTATTGTTCAACTGGGCCCTGACCTTGACCTGTCCTAGGTCTGACACAACAAAATGGTACTTGGAGGAGGGTGGGGTGAACAAGTTTTGTTTGGAAGGACAGTGTTTAAAAAAGTGAATTTGTACGTATTCTCAAGGGATAGTTTATCACCATCTCAATGGTTTGCTGATGAATATTTAATTACAACCTCTCTAAAAATTAATAAAATTTGTGTATGTGTATGTATATACACATGTTTAAGTTATAAATTTTACTGATATAAAAGACGTGTAGCATAAAATTTATAAATAATAGTAATAAAATATACAACATTATTATAAATTTTATATAGCCAATTGATTCTCACAGGATTATTTCATTGATTTTTATCAAACCTTTTTATCTGTAGCCAACCCGTGGTTGCAACTGAAAAACAAGTGTAATTCCAACATGAGTGTTTATTGATATTTTTGTTTATGTTAATATGTAAGATGAAACTGATACAATGAAGATATATGTCTTGGGTTGCCAGATTTAACAAACAAAGATACAGAAGGCTTAGTTAAATTTGAATTTCAGATAAACAACAAATACAATTTTAGTATAAGTTTGTTCTGGACAGTATTTGTGATATACTTATGCTAAAAATATTCTTGTTGGTTTGAAATTCAAATTTAACTGGGCATCCTATATTATATCTAGCATTGAAGAACTTCACTTGTTCTTCAGTGACACGAGTGGCTTCTTTGCTGAATCACATACTAGGTTTTGAATTCCAGAAGACTATTTCCCAATTTTTTGTGCTATTCAGTATGTAATGACTGTCGACATAACACAATTTTAAGTTTTATTGTCATTAAACCATCATTCTCTTCAGTCTAGAAAATCAACAAAACAATAAACTAAGCCCTGATTTGTAGCATTTGCCAATTTCTATAATATCTAAAGTCCCACCATAGCCAATTTCAACCTACCAACTTGACATCACAGAAGGAGAATTTGGGAAGACATGTGCAGGAACGCACAGTATAGCATTTTTGTCAGACAGATATGGTAGACACAGAAAACCTCAAAAGCATAGATAAAGAGCAACATTTAGTGAAATAATTTAGAGGTGGTGACTTTTGAGTATTTATTACCTTTGTTTTTAATATAATTTATGTAGTCGTAAGTCAATAAAAGATTTGCTTAAACTGGCTCACAAAAGTCCTGACAATATAACAATTGGCCCTTGCAAGCTGGTAACAGCCAGCTCCAGCACATTATTGAATCTGTCCGTATCATCCTACGCCTAGCCTGTTTTATTCATTTACAAATGAACTTGCTTGGTTCCTTGAGGTGTTGAATTGTGACTTAGATAAGTTGCTGGGGAGATTTAAAAGAAAAAAAAAAAGATACAGCCCTTCTCTAGGGAGCTTTAGGCTTCTCAAAGTAGTAATTAACATTTATTGAGCATCTTCCCTATTTGAGACGCTGCTTTCTACTACGGATTTAAGATCACAACATTATAAGACCCCATGCTACATAAAAGCCAGAAAGGTAGAGGAGACTTGCACTCTAGACATAAGAAGATCACTAACATTGTAAAGCAGAAGCTTAAGAGATGAAATGGAAATTCCTACTATGGTTGCAATATTATTGATTATCTATACCCATAATTAAGGATTGGAAGAGATCGTGTAAATAATTGTTCCTTTAGGGCAGTGGTCCTAAGAGGCGATGCATTTTCTTCTGTATTTTCCTTTGATGTCGTTGTGAAGATTTTCTGGAAGATAAGCACTAATGTCTACAATTCAGATGACAAATGCGTTAAATTCTTCAAAAGGGCATTCCTCTGTGCTGGGACAGTGTTTATGGAGCACACTGAGTGTAAGCTAGGCCTTGAAGCATGGGAGGGATTTAGATAAGTAGGGAAAGCATTCCAGGCTGGGCCAAGGGCTTGAGGAAAGGGTTAGAGATAGGTATTTTGAAGGAACAATAAATAAAATAGTCTGGCTGGAGAAGGTTCAGATTTATACACATATGTGAAAGCTATATAAAACCAGGCCCCACAAAGTCCACTCTTGGCATGGAATCAAATTCAAAGAACTAATAGTTGGAAAAATTGAAACTAATTTAAATCTTTAGTGCAGCTTCCTAAGAAAACACAAAAGCTGGAGGGCTTCTGCTCCTCATCACCAACCTTTCTCTCTTCTTAGGTTCTTATCTCTTCTGGTAAATGGTGTTCTATCATTTTCAGCACTTCTCTACTTCCCTGGATCCCTCAGTCTTCCCAGTAAGTCTCAGGGTTGGGTGGCAGCCAGCATTTTCCTTAGCAGGTAGGGAAGGAAAATAGGCTAGGTACTAATGCAAAGACATCTTTTGTCTGACATCTAATAATAATAGTCATACCCATGCATAACAATTACATGAATCAGTAATTTCTCTACACTTCCTCTCCTTTCCAACTCTGTAATATTAAATTATGTTCATTTCTTGATTTCTCTCTTGGTGTTCTCCCCTGCATTAGGCCTTGTACTTGCTATTTCATCTGCATATAATATTTATTTCTTCTCTCTTTTACCTACCCTATTCCTATGAATCCTGAAGGATTTAGTTTAGAAGCGACTTCACTCAGAAGCCTTCCTTGACCGCACAGACAGGATTAGTTGCCTCTCCTGTCTGAACCCATAATACTGGTACTTCCTCCTGTTTTAGCACTTATTACATTATCTTATAATTGCCTGTTTTACCTGTCTTGTCCCCACTGGACTGTGAAAAATTTGAAGACAAGCCCTAGGTCTCATTTGATGTGTGTATGTGTGTGTGTGTGTATATACACACACACACACATATATATGTATATGCATACGTGTATGTGTGGCTTAAAACAACACAAATTTATCTTTGAGTTCTGTAGGTCAGAAGTCCAACATGGGTCTCACTGACCTAAAACCAAGGTATCAGAGGGATGCATTCCTTTCAGGAGGCTCTAGGGGAGAATCTGTTTCCTTGTCTTTTCTAGTTTCTAGAAACAGCCTGCATTCCTTGCCTTGTGGCCTCTTCCTCCACCTTCAAAGCCAGCAACAGTGGCTCAAGTCCTTCTCATGCTGCTGTCTCTCTGGCACGGTTCCACTGCCACACTCTGCCTCAGATGACAGCCAGGAGAGGTTCTCCGCTTTTAAGGATTCATGTGCTTAGACTGGTTGGTCCCCCTGGATAATGCAGGATAATCTCTTCATCTCCAGGTCCTTATTCTTAATGACATATGCAAAGTCCCTTTTGCCATATAGGATAACATATTCACAGGTTCTGGGGATTAGAGTATGGACATATTTGGGGGGCTGTTATTCTGCTTACCCTAAAGTAAGGGTAAGCACACACAAGTAACCCCATTCTACAGATGAGGAAACTAAGACTCAGAGAGGTGAAGTGACTTTCCCACAGTCCCAGATCAGACAGTCCCAGATCAGAGATTCAGACAGGTCTGTGTGACTCAGAAGTGCTCTCTCTTTCTGGGACAGCAAACTGCCTTCTCTAACATTTCTGTGCTGGTCATAGAACTGGGCAGCAGTGTCGAATAGGTGGCAACTTGTAGAATGTAATGAATGGATGGCTTTCAAACTGGGAGCAGGGAAGCATCCTTGATTAACGAGAAAACAAAAACCCCTTAATGGTCAAAAGGATATTGTTGCATTTTCTCCCAGGCGTCTTTTTATAATTTCCCAGCAGAAGTTACATTGTGTGTTAGCACTACCGCACATTAGCTGTCGGACCACAGCACACTTATTGGTCTGCTGGGGCTACCATAACAAGATACCACAGACTTGGTGGCTTAAACAACAGAATTTATTTTCTCACAGTTCTGGAGGCTAGAAGTCCAAGATCAAGGTGTTTTCAAGGTTGGTTTCTGGTGAAGCCCCTCTTCCCAGCTTGTAGATGGCTTCCTTCTTGCTGTGTCTTTACGTGGCCTTTCCTCTGTGTGTGCAGAGAGAGCACATGCTCTGGTGTCTCTTCCTCTTCTTATAAGAACACCAGTCCTATCAGTTTAGGGCTTCACCCTTATAAGCTCATTTAACCTTATTACCTCCGTAACAGCCCTATTTCCAAATACAGTCACATTGAGGTTTAGGGCTTCAACATATCAATTTGACGGGGAAAAGTTTCAATACAGCTCATAAGAGGCAGTCAGTAAATATTAGCTGAATGAATAATTGAATTAATTAATCCCATTTGTTGAGCAAGTATGAAATACTAGATATTTACTAGGACTTGACAATTGTTGTTCTTTCAATCCTTAGAACAACACTATGGTATAAGTATTATTATCCATACTTCTTGGCACACTGAGCTGTAATTCAAGGTAGTCTCTTAGTTTCCTTTCAACTTTAAGAGTCTCTGATACTGTTAATGGCCCGCTGTGGGTTGTTCAGGGCACTTTTCTCCTGACACCTCTGACTGGAGGTCATGATTGTCAAGAGTCTTAGCTTCTATTAAACAAGCCTTGCAAGTTATTTTCCCTCGATCCTGTGTAGGTCAGCCTTCTGTGAGAGGTTTGATAATAGTCCCTGGGTCAGCATTTTCATCAGCCTGGAAGGCAGTAGAGCACATTACCTAAAGAGGTTATGGTGGAGCAGGCCTTTGTGAACAGACAAGTGCGTCGAATGTGCCCCTACAGAGCACTGGCCCACTCAGGTGCTTGCTTTGCATTGACTCCATCAATCTACTGATCATCTGTTATGTGCCAAGTGTCAGGATTATAGAGATTATTCTACCCTTAAGTTATTTCTAGTCTAGCTAGGTAGAGATACAGGTAAATCAGCAAGTACAATATGGTATGCTAAATACTATGTTAGAGTGAAGGGCAAGGGCTGTAAAAGTACAGAAAAGGGGCATCTAAACCAACCTGCAAGAGTTGGAGAAGGCTTCCTGGGGGAACTGATGCTTGAGCTGAGTATGCAAGGATGAGAAATATTCAACCAAGGCAAGAAAGTAGAGGAAGGAAGAAATGGTGCTTGAATTATGACTGTGCCATTCCTATGTGTGTACATTCACAGCAAGAAAGAGGGCACTGTGTATCAAGGTCCTTCAAAATGAGTATAACTCTTGATCCAGTAATTCCACTTCTAGGAATTTATCATAAGGAAGTTACCAGACATGCACATAAAGATTTATGTGCATGGATGCTCGTTGCGGCATGATTTATAATAATAAAAAAATTAGAAACAGCCTAAATGTTTATAGTGAATTGGATAAATGAATCCATATGATGGAATATAATGTAGCCATTAAAAGCCATATTTAATAAGGGGAAAGTGCCCAAGCTGTATTAAGTGGGGAAAAGTAGTATAAAATATGATTCCAATATTGTTAAAATTGGATATAGAGTAGGACAATATGTGTATTAGGTATATAAGTTCTGCATGGAAAAAAATACCATCAAAATGGTCAGTGGATAGTAGAAATATTGATTTTAAAAATTTTCATTTTGTTTATATTCTTCCAAATTTTCTACAAAAGCATTCATTATGTTTATAATTTTAATGCAAATTTAACCCCTCAAAACTGCAGTGTTGATTTTGCCAGTCACACATTCCTTAGTACCCCATCAGTCCTTTCTCCCTCTTGTGCTGGGGCCCCCATCTCTGTATCTCCGTCTCTTCCTGGATCTGTGTAACTGCCCGAAATACCAGGAGCAAAGTTTCAAGATGGCATTTTGATTTCAGTACCCCCAGCTTTTCTTTTTCTGTGTCCTTTTCCACCATCTTCTCTGTCCCTTTTCCCCAGAAGGGTCCCATTCCTAATCTAACCCTACTTTTAGAGAGTAAAATAAGTACATTTATTGAGCACTAACTATGTGTCAGGCACTGTTCCAAGCACTTTACATGGGTTGACTTGATTAATCCACACAATACCCTATGAGGTAGATATTATTATAACTTCCATTTTACTGATGGGGACACTGAGGCCCAGGGAAGTTCAACAACAGACAAAGTTCACTTAATTAGTAAGTGCTGGACCCTGGATTTGAGTGCAGGCAGTCTCTGTACACAATACAGACTCCCAAAGAGATGCTGATACTTAACCAGAAGCAGAACTTTTTCCAGGAAGGTGTGCATTTTAGTAGAAGACCAAGTTCTCAACTGGCTTAGGCCAATGCAATGGGACTAGGGTGGGGAGGTTAATGTTTAGGGGGTGTTGGGCCTCCCATTCCAATGAGATTCTCAGAGTGTTCTATAGACCTGTTGACATGTGGATCTTTATGTTCCTATTTCTTTGAAGCTCACTTCTGGGCAAAAAGCCCTGGGAACAATGAATAATTGGACTCCTGCTTGGAGCTGAGAGGGTGTGCCTGTAGAAAGGGCACAGAGAGCTGTGTTCTGTGATTCTGCAATTTCATGAGCCTCCCTGTTATTGTTTTTCCTCATGTCAGTGAGGGGAAAACCTAATCTGTAGACGGTTATATGCAGAAAAAAGTTAGTTTGCAAAAGGCCCTGGCCAGAGCTTTTAGCAGGTTGAGAACCCTGGATGGACAGGTTCCCATGTGAACAATTCTGAAGGGGTCCTTCAGTGAGGCGAACCCTTTCTACTTGGGTCAGTGTGGGCTGCAGAGGCGGAGGCCTGGGCCCTATGGTGA